AAAGAAAACTCAGAGTCCACATTTACTAAATGAGGTCACGACTTAATAGGGCTAGTAGGACATGGCGGTAGAAGCTCTGGCACAGGTTAGCTTGTGAGATGTGTTCAGAGTGAAGGGGGCCTGGGAAAGGACACACAATGTTCCAGAGGGGAGAAGAAGTATTCACCAATGAGCCTGGAACAGGCTCAGAGTTTGAAAGTACATCTAAGGCCCTTTCCTCCAGAGTCACTCTCAGGATCCTTAACCAATCAGGCATTTTTGTGACCTTTCTTCGCTATCTCTAGTCATTCTGTTGCCAAACAGCCCCAACATTGTTAGGACAAGCAACAGACAAAACCTGTATTAGTCAGTAGTCCTCAGAGCTGCCTTGGGTATGAGACAGAAAACTGACAACCTGGCTGATGCAAAGGTGATTGAATGCTCATCTAACTAAAATGTCCTGGAGATAGATCTCGCTTTAGGCAAGGCTGGATGTAGAGGCTCAAATGACACAATCCACTCTCTCCCAGCTGGGTCTTCCTCAGGCTTCTTTTCCTGTTCAGACAGGCTTTCCCCTTGTGAGGGCAAGACAGGCACTATAGCTAAGAGCTCCTATCTGCTTAGTGACTGAGGTCAAAAAGAGCATCTTTCCTACTAGTCTTGGGCAACTCTCATAAACCCAGCTTAGGTCAGGTTGGGACCCAGTCTCTTCACTGTGGCCAGGGATGGAGTACACTGAGAAGCCAGGTCTGGGTTACAGGAACACCCCTGGAGTTGGGGGTGGGCCAGCTCCCCCAAAACCACTGAGACTGTGTGTCGGGATGCTCCTCAAAGCAAAATCAGGAGACAAAGACCAGAAGCAGGAGAAATAGGTGCTGAACCTCCCAAATCCCCCAAAGTCCACTCCAGTTCAAAACACATACTTCCATAAATCATAAGTAAGAAAATATTCATGGTAAAAAAGTAAAGGAGAAAAATGAAAATTCTCCCATAATTGTGCCACACAGATGCACAGATGCAATGAACGTTATTTCTAAAATCTATCTAAAATCTGGAATGTTTTTATTCAGTGACCCCATTTCTGCCTTCCTTAGCCACACAGCAGGATCAACTCCCTTCAAAAAGCTGGGCACAGCCCTCTGAGTGTGTGAACATGGCTCTCATGTTCCTTCCAACTTTTCTTTTCAGCCAAATGTTCCACTGTGCCTCAGTTGTCCTGATTTCAAGACCACCCTGTGTTGTGGATATGATCCACCTTGGGGCTTGCTCCAGTTTGTCCATTCCTCCTTGACATGACTTGCCCAATCAGACCTCAATCCCTGGCCAGCATGGGTGGGCAAGGGGGGTATGGCCATTTCCTTTGCCCCACATACCACATCTCCATCACAAAACCTACCATGACATCCACTCTCTTGGCTCCTTGTTCAGATGGAGCCCAATGTCCATCCAAACTCTTGAAACTCCCTCTGCTGGTTCAGATGGAGCCCAATGTCCATGCAAACTCTTGAAACCCTAAATAACCTCCAAGACAGTCTGCTTTCCTCATTCCCCCTCATTGAATTCACACTTGCAATGTCAATGCAGAATATTATATGAGACTTTGCTGAGCTTTTTGGTTAGTTGTTCTGTTTTGGTTTTGCTTTCATTCCAGCATGAGAGGATGTTTTCAGCTCCCTTCTGCCATTCATGGGACAGCTCTCCCTGCCAGCTTCGGACCAGAGGCACAGTGACCTGACATGTGCATCTCAAGTGAAGGATGGCTGGGCCCAGTCAAGGGCTGCAGCACACCATCTGGGTGGGCAACTTGAGTTGGTATCCATCAGTTCATCAGACCTCCTGGGTATGGTGAGATGACCAGCTCAGCAAGCTGGAACTGCATACTGTCTACTCAGTACTCCCCTGCCTACACACCAAAGCCAAGAGATGACCTTTAGACTGGGTTGAAAGTGGGTGAAATTTCAGTGGTGATGGGGAATGGAAAGAGTTTCTGGGTGTCAGAGTTCCACATTTAGAACACTAGGAAGAGGGGACAGGTAGGAAAGAGACAGATCATGCCAGAGTCCTGAGGGCCTAAATGTCAGCTAGGGGAGCTCTCTTTCTGGGAGTCAGAAAGGAGTTATGTCATTCAAGGTTTGTGGAACAGAGCCTGACACGTTCAGAACTGACTTGTAGGAATATCCTGGGTGGCTGAGTATGGAGAGAGGACTAGAATCTAGATAAGGGCAGTTAAAGCTCCGAGTCAGGATGCACGGGGCTGAGCAAGGCGAGCAAAGGGAAAGCATTTTGAAGACAAAACATAAAATTCTTGACAATTGTGTGTGTTGGGGGTGAATTGAGAGAAGGGTTAGGGTGTAGAAGCACAAGAGAGAAAGAATAATTAAGGATAACTTCAGAGTTTCAGACTAGAGGAAACTGGAAAATGTTAATACCTTGATCAAAATTAGAATAATCAGGAAGAACACTGTTTTGGGTGGGGGGGAGAAGAATTAGGTATTAGATAAGTCTTTGGTGTTAATGGGATTCTAATGATGAATGGTAGGTGGTTTAAAAGGTGAGGGTGGGGGTTTGTGAAAAGCTGGAATTAGAGATGAGAATGTGCATCATTATATGAAAATGAGATCTGAAGTTACAGAATTAGTTGTGTTCTGTGTAGAAATTGATGAGGGCTCTGGACAGGCAGGATTCTGCAAGTGGAAATTCTTTTACTAGCATCAGCATTATGTGCATGAGATTGGAGGATTGCAACAACAACACAACGCTAAAGTCTGAGAAGGAGAATGTGGGAGGAGACCTGAGATACTGCAGCTTAATCACTATAATTAGTCAGAAATCTTTTTTAAAAAAATAAGTGATAAGAACTCAACTCAAATTGGTTTAATAATAAAAAATGAATATATTGATTCATGTAATTGGCAAGTTTCAGTTGTCCTGGCTTGATGAATTCAAGGGTCAAAGAAGTTGAGACTTAATTTTATTCTGTTTCATTGTGCTTTCTTATGTTGGCTCAGGAATCTTCTCATGGTGACAAAGTAGCTATTGGGAGCTCCATTCTGTCTTATGGAGCAGGAAGGAAATTTCCCTCCAAACCATTCCAGTGAAGGTCTCTGTAAGTCTGGCTGACCCTGGTACAGCAACTCTTACTTCCTCACCTGAAAACTGGAAAACGTTAATACCTTGATTAAAATGAGAATAATTAGGAAGAACATTGTTTTTTTTTGGGGGGGGGAGAAGAATTAGATATTAGGTAAGTTTTAGGTTTTGGTGGGATTTTAATGATGAATGGTAGGTGATTTAAAAGGTGAGGGTGGGGGTTTGTGGAAAAGCTGGAATTGGAGATGAGAATGTGCATCATTATATGAAAACGAGAAGGGGGCAAGTAAAGAGAGGCAATTCAGAGCATGGGTGGGTCATGGTGGAGGACTGACACAGTCCAGCACAACCAATCTCTGTGGCCAAGAGGTTGTTAGGCTCAGTGTTTAGAGTTAAGTCCATGCTTATCTCTGGAGTCACAAGTGGAGAGAGAGCAACACATATGAACTGAAAACTGGAGAGGATTGGTTCCCTCTAGGAAAACTGGGGTGCTCTTCCAAGAAGAAAATGGAAGGAGAGCCACAGAAGTGATGACTATCTGCCACAGAGGTCAAGAGAAGCTCAAGGAAGAAGTTAGAAGTGGTCAATAGTCAAATAATCCAGAGAGGTTGAAGAAGGTAAGTGAATGGTCACAGACTTTAGACAGGCAACTGAGTGACTTTCTGAAAATTTCTGAAGGAAAACAGATTGTACTGGGTGAAAGGGTGAATGGGCATAGAAACACTGTAAAGGCATGAATTTGCTGTTTTGAAGGAGTCTACCAGTGAAAAGAGGCAGAGACGAGCTTGGCCCCAATTCTATCCCACAGTCTCTGAGAGAGTGAGGCTGTGTGCTGGGCCCCCAGACTCTGAGATTAATAATTCCCCATCCATTTCCTCCAGAACCTCAGAGCTTAGAAAGTAAGAAAGAATCGTAAGTGAAAAAATTATGGGGAGAAGGAATAATGACTCCAAGGTTTCTGAGTGGGAGAGTACAACTGTGAGAAGCTGACACTGAGTAGGGGTTGTCATGGAAGAGAGGATGACCACACCAATCCAGGGGTATCAGGGAAGACTTTCCACCGAGGTAGCACCTGAGCTGGGTTCCATAGAATGAACAGGAAGCAAAATGGAGAAAGGAGTGCAGGGAAAAACCCAGTCATTTCCTTTAGAGGCTCATGGGTGAATATTGCTGGAGTAGAAAGTACAGGAACAGAGAAGGGCAGATGCAGAGGGCTTGTGTGATATGCTGAGGGGTTAGGGTTTTGCCCAGTTGGTGTTGGGCAGGGGGCACTGAAAGATTTAAAGTTAAGGCTACACAGTGTCAGATTAGCATGTCAGAAAAAAAGGGGGACTAGCGAAGAGGGGGCAATTCAGAGCATGGGTGGATAATGGTGGAGGATTGATACAGGCCAGCACAAAGACAGGGTCAGAAAAAAGGGGAAGCATGACCAAGAGCCAGGGGGAACTGAGAAGACTTGGTGATTATTGTTTGGGGCAGTGAGAAAGAAAGACACTTTGAAGACAGGTGATGGGGCTCAGGGAATGACCCAGCCCCTGGAGAGGGAGACCAAGATGGAGGCAAGGAAGGGATAATGGGAGGCAAGGAGAGTGGGCTCTAGCCAGTTGGTGGGGAGACAGGCTGAGCTTTGAGTGGGGAGAAAGGATGGAGAGTATGGATGAGAACCGACAGTGGGAAGGACAGGAGAAGTGAGCTTCTACCTGGGAAAGCAGCACCATCACTGGTGGAGTGCATGGGCTTCCTGTTTCCCCCTGGGTAAGGAGGATGGCAAGAGAACCAGTCAATCACAGAGTCAGGTCAGCTCCACAGGCTTTGTCCCCTTCTCTAGGCTTTTCTGCCATTTGCTAAGCAGAGGTCTGCATTAACCCCACCAAGGGGTCTGGTGAGGCAGGGTGCTTGTCAGAGCCTCAGGGAAGCTTCTTCAGACTCTTGCCCACCCTGGAATCCAACTCAGGGTGTCTAGAGTGGCACCCAGGAACTAGTGTTTCCAGAAAATTTCGTAAAGGAGGTTCTGAAAAGTATCCTACCCACACCGATAGTTAAGAATCACTGAGGTACACAGGACTGAGTCCCGGAATTGGCGATGATGTGGGGGAAGATGGATTAGAATGGTTTGCAGAAACGGGTGGGCGTCAAGTGACTCAGGAAAGGAGGACAAGGAGAGGAGGTGGCTGTGTCTGCAGGCGCTGGAAAGAGCAGGGGCTCGGTTGTCGGTGGATCTGCCTCTCAAGACCGTTGCTAGGGCCGTGCCCACCCCTCCCCTGTGCCCTTTGTGTCACTTTTCCCCCTTGGTGTTCACTTTAGCCAGTGGCAGCCTACATCAATGTGCAGAGGATCAAAATACTAGAAGAGATTCTGAACCATCAAAGCCGAGCACAATGAGGATAAGCAGGCCTTTCTGAAGTTTCATGGCCATTCTTGTAGAGGTAAGGAAAGTGTGGGGAAGAAAACCCCCGAATTATTGACAATGTCAAGGCCCTGGGAATGCTCAGAAGCGTCGCAGTTCGTGCGCAGCACTGCCCTCTGCTGCTCACAGTCAGACCTGCAGCTGAGTGGCAATAGCTTCTTTGACTTCCTGAGCGGACCATGGAGAAGACAGGTGAGTTGGGTCAAGTCACGTGTCATCATGAAATCGACAGGTATGTCTCTTTAGGTACAAACTGAGTTTACAGCTTTAGGTTTGGAGATTTTTTTCCAGTTAATAGTGCTTCAATAAAGACAACTCGTCTAGGAAAAACATTCAGGCCCTGAAATTTTCCCTTATAAAACGTTTTCATGTATTAGTAACCATTGTATTCCCCTGGAGATAAGCTGCAGAAAAGTAGAAATTTTTTTCCTGAGTTTGGCAAACTTTCAGATAATGTCTGATAATTCTATGCTGTTAATAATAATGGCCAACATTAACATTTGTAGTCATCAGAACCTTCTGGGCATTACATTGATTTCACAACAACACAGTGAAACAAGAACTATTATAGTCTACACTTTACAGATGGGATACTTGAGGTATAAAGAGTCTAAATACCATGATCACAGAACCTTGGTAGAGCAAGGAATTAAACTCAGAACTACTATATAGTCTTTGTTAAGGTCGTGTCAACTACCTTATCATACAGACTCCAAAATTTGTAAATTGCTCCAACATCATAAATTTTTATTTCATACTCATGCAGTTGTCCTGAGCAGAGGTTTCTTGCAATTGAATACCTCTCTGCTTTCACACACTGTGATGTAGAAATCAGATCCCTTCTGACTTGTGATCTGCTAGTTATCTGGTTCTGGTCATTTCCATACACCTCTAGCCAGTCAGAAGAAAAGAAAAGAGCTTGGAGAAAGCACTCTTGCTTCTTAACCTCTGTGGCTTACATTTCCATGGCAAGAACAAGTCCCTTGGCCACACTTAGATGCTAAGGGAGCTGGGAAAGGTAGTCTTCAGTGGTTCAGCTCCTCCCCAGCACCAACTCCACATCATGGAAGAGAGAGCAAGGATTTCAGTGTTTAGCTCGCAATCTCTGCCATACCTTGACTCAGTTCTCACCTTTGGGCATTATCCCAGGAGAGTACTGCAGCGAGTTCCCGAGCCTGGGGTCTTTCAGAAGTAAGTCATTTGTAAGGTGTTTTTCCTGCTGACAAAGCACTTTTGTACCTATTATCTCATTTAATCGTCACTGTTCCTATGAAGCAGTTAATTACCTTTATTTCACAGGTAACAGAAATAAGCCTAAGCAGTCAGGTGGTTTGCCAAAATTCTCACAGCTGGGTCAACTATTTTGACGGCCAGATCCTGGAAACAGAGTGGCTGCTGCTAAGCTTAGGTAGGGCCTGACCAAAATGTTTTATGGAGAGTGAGAGCAGTAGGCTGTGAGCAGAAAGGAATTCTAAAATTGGAGCAATGGTAGGAGCAAAGAAAGGAGTAACAAGTTCTAGAGAAACAACAGGTTCTCTAAGTTTTCTCCTTGCGGTCTACTTTGATCAAATGTCACAGAACCCTGGCTTTACACCTCACAATTTGAAGATTTACACTGCAGAGTTTATGTGCCTTTGACCATTCTATGATGCTGTTGATTGCTATAGATTTTTTCCTTCTGGGAGATTAGGAAGCGTCTTCATTTTCTCTCCCACCCACCCCCTCCCACTTTGGACTTATCAGCATCCCTGATAACAATCTGGTAATAAGGAGGGGCCTACTCTTATTTTTAATTCTCACAGAGCTTTCATTCTGAGTGAATTTAAATGTTTAAAGTTTTACTTTATGTTTTTATACAAGAAAGGAAAATAGTACACAAATATATAGGTACTCAGCAACTAAATTAAAATATGATCATTTTCCAAATATCTGTTATTGATTTCAAAATTAATTTTGTTATATCAGAGAATATACTTTGCTTGCTTTGATAAAAGGAAAATTTCTTGGGCCAGTTAAATGTAGTAGAATTTATTTGAGAAAAACAAAACAAATTTGCAAATCAAGTAGCTCCCAGATCCCATATCAGGTTCTTTTTAAAATATTTATTTTGTAATTAATAAAATAAAAACATAAACACTGTATACATTAATACAATGTGATATTTCCATTAAATATTAACTATTTAAATGAGGCTTAACATATTATGATTTGGATCTTAAATGTCCCCCAAAGGCTGTATGTTAAACACTTGGTCACCGGCTTATGAAGCTACTGGAAGATAAGAAGTGAGACTAGTGGAAGGAAGTTACATCATTGGGGACATGCCCTGTCTTCTCTCATTGGTTCCTGGTCACCATGAGGTGAGTGGCTTTGCCATTCTATGCTCCCTACCATGATGTTCTGAAGTCTCACCACAGGCTTCAAAACAATAGAATCAGCTGACCTGGACTGAAGCCTCTGAAACCATGAGCTAAAGTAAACTTTTCCTCCTTTAAGTTTATATCTCATGCATTTTGTCATAGTAACAGAAAGCTGAATAACACACTCATCTATCTCCTCAAACATTTATCATTTTTTTATGATGAAAATTCTCAAAAATTCTTTCTCCTTGTCTTTTTTGAAATGTATAGTACATAATTGTTATTGCTTTGCTGTGCAATAGCACACCAGAACTTCTTGCCTCTAACTATAACTTAATACCCACTGATCAGCCTATCTTATAAGAGAGGCCTTTCTGCCCTACAGAGCTGGTTCTGAGAACTCCAGCCAACAGGATTAGACAGCATTTATAATAAACACGAAAGTGAGAAATAAAAATAACTAATTGGTTGCAGCCAGGTAAATGAACCAGTCAAATGATTGCCATTTCCTTAGTAAGCTGGCTGTCACTTCAACTAGCCAGAGCTCAGTTACAGTGATTCAACTTTATAATGGTCCGTTGGACAGGTATACAGTCCAAATCCATGGCCTCCAATAAAATATTACTTAACAGTTTTCAAATACTTTTTAGAAATATTTTTTCATTGTAAATGGCCACAATACCTTTATTTATTTATTTGTTTGTTTGTTTGTTTATTTTTATGTGATGCTGAAGATTGAACCCAGTGTCTCACACATATTAGACAAGCGCTCTACCATGGAGTTAAAACCCAAGCTCCAGTCAGAATAATTTTAATTCAAATTAAATATATTGAGCTTGTTTTATGGTGAGTACAATTGTCTGTATTGATAAATAATATGTGGAACTTGAAAAGAATGTGTTATTCTGTTGTTTTTGGTGTGAGGCTTTATAAATGTTAATTAGATCTATTACAGTTCAGTTCTACATTTCTACTGATTTTCTATTTGCTTGTTTTATCAATTACTAAGAAAATGTTGAAATTTTGTGTTTCTTTTTTTCAGTTTTGTTAGTTTTTTCCTTATATATTCTTTTAAGTTTTTTTTTCAGTGTACAGTTGGCCTTCTGTATCTAGAGGTTCTGTTTCTGTAGATTCACCCAAGAAATAATGAAAACTATTGGGGAAAAATTGTGTCTGTACCAAAAATATACAGACCTTTTTTCTTGTCATCATCTCCTGAAAAATACAGGATAGCAACTCTTTATGTAGCATTTACATTATATTTGGTATTATAAGTAATCTAGAGATTATTTAAAGTATATAGGTAGATGTGCATAAGTCAAATGCAAATAGTACATCATTTTATGTAATGGACTTTAGCACCCACATATTTGGGTGTCCACAGAAATGTCTTAGAATTTTTCCAATATATTCATCCTTCTTAGATACTGAAGGACAACTGTGAGTACATACAGATTTCTATCTTCTTGTTGAATTGATCATTGTATTATCATGAATTTTTTTATCTTTGACAATAATCATTGTCTTAAAAAATCTATTACATCTAATATAAATATATTCATTCTAGTTTTACTTTGATTGTTATTTTCCTAGCACATATTTTTCTATCTCAAACTTTAACTTCTCTGAGATTTTAAATATAAAGTGGGACAGTGGGTTTTCTTGAAGGTAATATTTGTTGAGTCTTGATAGTTCATCTAGTATGATAATCTCTGCCTCTTAATTTAAGTGTTTGGCCATTATATTTAATGCAATTATTGTTGTATTTAAATATAATAGTTTCCTATTTGTTTTTCTGTTTGTCCCAATTTACATTTGTTTCTTTCTTTATCTTTTTACAACCCTCTTTTGAATAATAGAGTATATTTTATTGATTATTTATTTATTTTATTTATTATCGATATATTTTATTGCATCTTCTCTATTGGCTAATTGGCTATAGCTTTTTCTTTTTGAAATTACTTTTGTAGTGATTATTCTAGAATTTATAATATGAAATTTTAAGTTAGTACCACCTATACTTATTGTAAATGGCCACAATACCTTTATTTATTTATTTGTTTGTTTGTTTGTTTATTTTTATGTGATGCTGAAGATTGAACCCAGTGTCTCACACATATTAGACAAGCGCTCTACCATGGAGTTAAAACCCAAGCTCCAGTCAGAATAATTTTAATTCAAATTAAATATATTGAGCTTGTTTTATGGTGAGTACAATTGTCTGTACTGATAAATAATATGTGGAACTTATTATAATATACCACCTCACCCCTGTATATTTCTCCTACTTTCTTCCATCCTTTGGGTTACACTGTTATACACCTTATACCTGTGTTGTAAACCCCATATACATTATCATCTTTCTAAAACAAATACTTTAACTGTATATTTAATTATATAATAGTTATCATTTCTAGTTGTCTTTATTTCTTTGTACAGATCCAAATTTCTATTTAGTATTATTTACTTCAGCTTTAAAAATATCCTCTTTTATTTCTTCTAGTGTAAATTTGCTAGCAGTGAATCTAAATAGCCTTAGTTTGCCTAAAAATGGTTTTAGTTTTTACCTTGAGTTTTGGAGGATATTTTTGTTGTATATAGATTCTAGGGTTCTACATATATAGATATAGGAGATACAGATGGAGATAGAGATATTCTTTAAGTACTTTAAAAATGTCAGTCCTTTTTCTTTGGGATTCTATTGTTTCTAATGAGAAAACATAATTTTTATCCTTGTTCCTCTCTGTGTAATGTGCGTACAAGTGTCCTGTATGTGTGTTTTCTGGATACTTTGAGATTTTATCTTTTATATATTTTTTTCCAGTAATTTCATTATGATACATTTTGGAGATGTCTTTATCTCATTTGAGTTTTGATGAACTTCTTGGGTTTGTGTGTATATGGTGTTTATCAAACTTGGGAAAAGATTGGCCATTGTTTCCTTAAATATTAATTCTGAAAAATATTGCCCCTTTCATGGGACTCCAGTTACATATGACAATCCACAAGTTACTGAAGCTCTGTTTTTAAAGATGTCCCCCCTCCTCTGAATAATTTTAATTGTTATATCTTCAAATTTACCGATTTTTTCCCTATAGTATTTAATCCCTGTTAAGCCAACCAAAGAAGTTTTTCATTCAAACAAACCACTAGTTGACCTAATACCATTTTCCTTAATATTTTTAAATTCTACATTTATCTCATACTAAATTCTCCCAGGCATTTGAATTTAATGAACTTTCTATTCTTTTAGAAAGATATAGTCATGCTCTTTAAATTTTTGACATTATAACTTAATATATGTTAATGTACATGTCAAAATCTAGTAGAGTTAGTCTTTTCTTGATTCTTTAGCTTTTCTTCCTATTCTTAGTTTTCCACAAGACCTTTAAAGTCAGCTCCTCCAATTAAAAAATAACCCTGCTGATATTTTAAACTTTATATTTACAAGGTAACAAGGATAATTAACGTTTCTATGTCACATCTTCCTATGCATGAATGGGGTTGTCTTTTCCTTTTATTTTTCAAATTTTCTTTTGCATCCTAAGTAGCATAAAGTTTTCTTTATATAGACCTCAAATATTTCTTATTTTTAGGTATTTTATGTTATTGTTGTGAGATAATAAATGAGATCTCTATAAATGAGATCTTCTCATTATAATATGTTCTAAATGCCTTTGATTTCATATAGAAAAGTGTTAATCTCCATGTTAGTCTTGTCCTAACCATTTTATTGTATTCCATTATTGTTTCCCTTTCATTTGCTTATATTTTTTCAGGTGTATGTCCCAATACCTAGAAGTGGGGCTTTATTGAATTTGCATGTTCTTTTTCATATTGTCCTGATATTGCCTGTGACTTTTTTTCTTTAGTTTTGAATATTTTAAACATATTTATTTTAAAACCTTTCCAGTTATCCCATTTTCTGGAGCATCAATTTTTCCCAACTATTTAATCTACTGACTTTATTTCAATAGATTATGTATTGAAATAAAACATGGAATTAGACGTGCTTTGCCATGAGCTCATCTTCAGTACGGACAGTTTCCTGTTGAGTCTCACGAGCCTGTCTTTTGCAGGCATCTGTATGATTTGGTTCACATTTTCCTCTGCTGGGTGCATTCTTAGATAATTTTTATGTTTATTTTTTGACTATAACTTCCCTTAGTTATGGTTTGGAGGATTTTTTGACTATCACCCACACATGGTACAATTTTGGAAGTTTGATTTCTCAAGGTCTACTCTTCCAACACCCACAACACGGGCAGATGGTCAACTTCCTGCCGCATCCTAAGACCAGTGGGCAGAGTTTTTCTAGTCCTTATTTCATGAAGGGAACATCCCTTTTTGGCTTTCCAATTTATTCAAATAGGTCAGTTTTGCTTCTTATCACACATAAGCCTAAGGCCTAATCCTCAATTCTATCTGTCTTAGATTCCCATCTTCTTTGCTGGCCCCTATTTCTAATATTCCTACAAACCATTTGTATGTAGCACCTACTCAATTTTATGTGTTTAAATTTCTATTGAGAATTTTCCTTGCTTGTGGTTGAGTTTGGATGGGAAATGGTGAGGATAATAACACCACCAGCAATCACATTTTGTTGTTATATTTTGTCCAAAATTTATATGGGTTTGCAGTGTATTGGGAAACTTCCCACATCAGTTCCGTCTGTCTTTCCTGGTCCTTCAAGTAGTTTAAAGGATACGTGCTCTTTCCTGTCACAAGCAGAAATACTTAACCTCGGGATATCTTGGGCTCCAGAGTGTGAAAAACAAACCCAAACACAACAAAACTAACATTTATTGGGCACTTATTTTGGGCCAGGAACTGAGATTATTTTCTAGCATATAAAATGGAATAAAGTGGGGTCACTTTCTTATAAGACATCCCTCTTCATGCACAGGGTAGGAGATCAGTTGGCTGTACTATGGTAAGTTCTTAAAGGAAGGCAGGAACAGTGCATTTGCAGGGAAATGTCTAAAGGTCCTGTGTATGACTGTGAAACAGAGATGACTGTGCACCTGTTTTCTTCTTCTTCCTCTTCTCTTTCTCTCCTTCTGCTTCTTTTTCTTTTATATATCCTTGTAATAAGAAGGAAAAGGGGAGGTAGGCATCAGGAGGTTGGCGAGAGAGCACTGGATTGGAGGGTCAGGATCCTTGGCTAATCAGCCCTAGGGCTCTCAACCCAGCTGCCTTTCAGATGTGCCCACCTGAGGTCCTGACCTAGCAATTTTGGAGTGGGCCCAAGCATTTATATATCTAGACGCTTCTTTGGGTGATTTTAATGTCATGTTGGGATACATGGCTACTATTGAAAGCAACATCACACTGTCTCTCAGCACAGGGCTCTCGTTTTTCACTTCATTTGAAAGTAAACTTCCACGGACCTCTGGAAACGCAGGCTCCTCTGCTCCCACATATCCCCACTTTGGTGTACACATTTCTACACTTAGAATTAGGCGTCATACTCAAGGAAAAGCCAGAGAAAATCTGAAGCTATTGAGAAGCGACCGGGGCCATTGAATTCATTTTGGGGGCTGCCATAACAAAGTACCAGTAACTGGGTGACTTAGAGCCACATAAATACATGACCTCGCTATAGGACTTTGGGTATATCTTTTTAATCCCCATCCTTTCTGTGCCTCAGTAGCCTTAACAGCAATTCCTGATCATTTTCAGATCTGGAATTCTATTCCAATACACGATAGTTGCCCAAGAGAGGGCTATTTTTGTAACATTTGTCATTGTTATTAATACCATTATGCAATCTCACTGGTTTTTCGAAGCTTGGATAGTATTTTCCTGGGAGAACAGTTTTAGTAAGCTCAAATAACAAGCAGACTAGTTTTTCTGTCCTTCAGTGCTGTCATTTGGCTTCCCACAATTAAGTAATGATAATTGATGGAACAGCTTAGC